CCCCCTCCACTCCTTTCCCCTCCTCTCCTTTCCCCTCCCCCTCACCCCCCTCCTGCTGTGTGCCCCTTCCCTCCCCCCTTTCCCCTTCCTGAGCCCCACTGTGTAACCAGGCACCTGTTTTCTCTCTAGGCCAGCCGAGGCAGCACTCCTGGATAGCCAAGATGTGTTCCTGCAGGGTGTGCTGAGTGGAGTCAAGCCACAGCAGCCCGCACTTCGCCGACGCAAGCGTGGCAAGCCCGTCTCTCATGGCCCTTGCAGAGCAGTGCTGCTGCTGGTCCACTGCGGATTTTTGGCTTGGTTAGCCCGAGTGTGCTGGACGAACAGTCCTGATGGAAAATGCTCACTCTCTTCTAGCACATGCATGCCCCAGCCAGCCCTGGTGAGCCTGTTGGAGCTCTCGGGGATGCGACAGCCTGCTCCAGCCTGCGTGCTGCAGGTTGGCCATCACCGCCTAAGGCATTCTCTCTCTCCCTCCTCCTCCCTCTGTGCTCACATTTTCAACAAGAAATGCCAGCTCACAGATACAAATGTAACAGTTCTTTGAATTCGTTTCCATTTTTTCAGCCCCTGAGTTATATAATAAACAACATTAAAGCCAACTTAACACACGACTTAACGTTGCTTCAGTGTATGTAATCCGAAGCGTTAGCAAATTTGGCCTGTGGCGTGAGCACATCCTGTGCTAGCAGCGCCCTAATTCAGATCGCTGGCTGCAGTCAGTGCCGTCCTTGGCATGAGATAACCACCTTCCTGCAGTCATCAGGTAGCCAAGACAGAGGCCACGCGACGTCACAGTTGCCGCCTCCAGGCGACCCGGTGAGTGGACTGTGGTGGATGTGGAAACGCGTCCTGAGGGAAATAGGGTTGAGCTTACTGGCCACACAGGCCTGGGCTGGGAAGGGGATCCGCTGCCAGCTTGCACACCAGGAGGCTCTTACCAAGTGGTGCTCTTGTGGTTCTTTTCCCAGAAAGAGGCTTTCACTAGCAGGAATTCTAAAACTAAAATATGCAAAGTAATATAACCGGGAGTGGGCATCAAGTGCTCGTCTGTTAAGGCCGTTAGCGATCTGGTTTACTTGCCGTAACTTATACCATTCTTTGATGTATAGAAAATCTTCAAAGCATATTAATGTGCATATATTATGAATACAAATTATTGCCTAATCTACAGGAAAATGTATTAAATGTATGATGTGTAGCCTTCTCTATCTTAAGAGAGAATTTCGTCTCTTCAAATCAACAAACACACTTTGAGCACCTGAGGCGGTTTCTGCACTGGGATGGGGCAGAGGAGCGCCTCGCGGTTAGACACAGGGAGTCTACTCGCAAGCACTTGGCTAGTGCCCGGCCGGGGTGCAGCATCACGTGTCCCCGGCCCTCGGAGGAGATCCAGGCTGTCTTCTCTGCTTCCTAGAAGTGATCCCCTTGTTGGAAATTACGTCTCAGTTGTGCTTCACAAACTGACTTGTGGATTCAAATGATCTAGGTAATTAAAACCCTCTGGAAATTGGCCTGTGTGCCTTTCCTCCGTGGGGAAACAGTAGTCACAAGCCGCTGGAAACAAGTTCCAACACAAAGGGAAATGGTGCTGGGGGTGTAGCTCAGGGACAGCGCGCTTGCCTGGAAAGTGCAGGGTCGTAAGTTCGATTCCTCGTACCCCCACAAAAGGAAGGTGGCAGTTTGGCAAGGGGGGATTTTCCAACAAGATGGGTTCTGGCCTTGGCAGCCACCACAGGAAGGGCCCCATGAACACCTGGAATGCAGGTTAGGTCACTTCAGTTATGTCCCCCCTCGAGAAGTGACAGCTTTGTGCCCCAAACCTGCCTGTGTCCTCAGTTCCAGACTGTTGAAAATGTGCCTTTAGCACGTTCATAGCTTCATCTTGTCGTCCCCAAAGATGGGAGAGAGAGAGAGAGAGAGAGAGAGAGAGGTCAAAACATTGCTGTGCCTGGCGTTTTCTGGGGTCTAAGAAAGCCAGTGCTGAGCCCCTCAAAACTTATTCTCCGGCACCACTAGTATAGGAAATTAACCCCGACGCTACTAAACAGAGGTTCAGAGAGATAAACAACACTTCCATAATATCCACATGCAAATGTGCTTTTGACACAAATTACAAAATCCATCGAGATGATTTGCTTCTACTGACTGCAGTTCAGCATGCTTTGGTCCCTGCTGTTGTGGGAACACTAGAAGTGGCAAGTTTGCGCCCAGCAAGTGAGACCGGCACGTGGGGACCCCGGCTGCCCTCACAGCTGCAAATAGGGACCTGCTTCTCATGTGACGCATTCCTTCTGGCCTAGGGGAGCGGTGGGGTCACTGCACCCACAAGTTTGTTCGTATCAGTTTTCCTGTCTCTGTAATGAACACATCATTAAGATTATCTTGTGTTTCTTTTTCAAGAAAGAGACCCAGACCGCCTAAAAGACTATTGTATGTTCAGGTTCGCAAGCGCCGACCCTTCTGTCCATGTGTGGCGTGCTGGTCCTGCTGGGCCCTGGCTTGCCTCCTACTGGCTATGCCGAGCTGCAGAGGCAACTCAGAGACAGCACTCCCCACGCGGAGCAGTGTGTCCAGGCTGCTGTCTCCAGTTCTCTGTCATCATCGGAGGCCACAGGGCCCATCTGCAAGTCGCTCTGAGCGGGGTTGTGGATGCTGTAGCGACAGGTGACACATGGTGTCACAGAAATGTAGAGGTGGCCTTGGGCCTCTGACTTGCTCTTCCTGTTAGAAGCTAAGTGAACCCTTCCCTCCTAGAAACATGACCGGAAAGCATTTCTCTAAAATTAATGTTTGATCTGTAGATGGTGGTATTGGAGTGACTTCTGTTTCCTTTTCTGTACATCATTTTCCCATCTTCTACATTTTTAAAAGCCTTTGGTAATAATTCAGACCAACATTTTCGAAATGAAATTGCTTCTCTTCAGTATTTATACGGCACATAAAGATTCATGCAGTGAGTGTGTTTAAAATGAAGGCTTAGAATGCACTGATTCCACGTGATTGTGAAGTCTTTCCACGGAATTCACTCATCGTGTTTTTAATTTTGCTTTTTAAAAATCTGTATTTTATGTTTTTATGGTTTGGTTGCTCGGTAATTTAGAGACAGAGTGTTAGACACTTATTCTCTGCAGAACGATGTCTAATTCATGCACACATTGCCCACCGTCATGTTTAACTTCAGAAGAGCCGCAGCCTTGTGGACATCCGCATCGCTTCTGCGCCTTCCAAGCTCCGCGGAGGCTGCCCGCTCCCAGCTGCAGTCCATCGGATCGGAGCACTTGGCTTCAGAAGCAGTGGTTGTGGGGTCCTTGCTCTGCTGGGGCCAACCGGTGATGTCGCAGAAACGAGAAGATGCCCTATGGGACCTCGTCCTGGAGACCCCCACCCTCCCCAGGCCCCCCAGGAAGGGCAGCTGGCCCTGTCTCCAGCAGGGCAGGACCAGGGAGAGGTCTACGCTGCAGCCCTTACGACTTTCTCAGACCTAAGCATTTTAAAGCAGATAGCATTGGATTTCTTTGCAGTAGATGTTAGGCCTGTTGCATTAAAATTCGTTTCTCCAGATCCTTCTGTGTTTGGCCTCTCCCAGGGCTTGAACCTGCTTGCTGTGTCTAACGTGAATTCACCTTTAGTCCAGATGGTACACTGCACGTGACGGATGTGAGGGCGACCTCCTCAGAAACGTGATTATGTACAGGTGGTAAGAAACAGTTTAATACCACGTGAAACCTGCAGGCACGCAGCACTGCGCGTGCGTGCGGCGCCTTTCCGTAGTAGTAACACACCTGGATGTGAGTGGGGAGGCTCCCTCGACGCTTCTGCGTGCAGCACCTTTCCTGTGGCACAGACACCGTTCCTGTCATTCACCTAGGGAGTCCTTTTGTGTTCAGTGCCTAACCAGCAGGAAAGGTGGAGTGCATGCTGGTCAGAGATGTAAGGTTCTTAACCCCAGCCATACTTAGCGCATGTTCAGCACAACACGACTGGGTCTGCAAAGCGCCAGGCGCCGGCAGAACGCCGACCTTCGGAACAGTATGGAACGGCAATAAGCAGCTGACACGGGCTCCCACTGCCGTCACTCACGCACTCCGCAACCGTTTTAATTGCAATTATCTGGAAAGTCATCCATCGGCATTTCATCTCTAGGACAGTGTCTTCATACAGGTGGGTGATGCCGCGTCACGCCCTGCTGACACCTCCGGGACAAAGGCCACCTGGGATGTGTCCCAGCCGTGGACAGGCTGCCCTGTTAGACCCGCAGCTAAATACATTTCCAATCAAAAATAACCTCTCATACCGCCAAAAGATTACCTTATTTTTTTCTACATTTGCATCAGTTTGTAGTTATGTTGTAGTGAGGAAAGTTTTTTCACTTTGCTGTTCTATTTTAAAGTCTGCCAAGGTCGGGGGAGCAGGAAGATTCAGAACCCCGCCTGGGACGGAGCTGCAGCAGTCAAGTTGTACTTGGGTGTTCGTGTTTTAAATAAAAATGAAGATTTTCTTAGGTCAGCCTGTAGCAACATTCAGTATTTCCATCAATCCGGTCAGAGTCCGAAAGTCCGCTGCAGCCAGAATTTTGGCTAAAAGTGAGGCGGTGCTAAGGGCTCTGACCTGGGTCCTGGAGGCCAGGGAGGCGAGGTCCCCGGACCCCCACAGGCCCTGTGGCTGCCGCTCCATCCCTGGCTGTGCCGAGGCTCCCTGCCATGTAGGTGGCAGCAACGCGCAAGGCTGGAATTTCCTCCACCTCAGCCCGCCCGCACACGCGCATCACGCCAGGCCCTGCAGAAGCGTGGAGGGCCTGAGTGCGGTGAACTCCTCCTCGTCCCCTCCTGTCTCAGAGGCTCGGCGTCAGGGCAGCGCTCTCCTAATATGAAGGCGTCCAGCCCCCCAGCTCCGCGGCCCCTCGCCAAGTCGGAGTTCGCACTTGTGCGAATGCGCCTATCGGGTGCGGGCTCTGTCTCCCCGGATCTCACTTCTTTACCTCCCTCAAAAGGAAAAGGCAGAACATTGCGCCAGCTTACTGCTGCTGAAACAGTGGACGCAAGACTGCCCCTTCTGCAGACTTGGGGATGCACGTGCGCATAAACGCATCTTCTCTCGTCACCCTCGGGAGAGGCAGCGGCGGGCAGCGAGGCTCGGTGTGAGTCCCAGGAAGGCTGCGGAGGGCCACGCCAGCCAGTGAGCAAGCACCCCGGGGGCTGGGAGCGCCTGCTCCGCCTCCCGACGCCCTCCGGGCACGTCGCTGTCCGCAGCGGGACAGCCCTGGCTCTGGATGCAGGGCGCAGGCCCGGCGTGCCCGCCACGCGGAAGTCGCAGTGCAGGGGAGGCAGCTGAAGCCCGAGGCCTCAAGCAGAGACCGAGGCGCGGGACGGGGAGGCCAGGCTGCTCCCCCGGCTCAGCCTGCTCTCCGCAGCCTCCTCGTGGGCTCCTCCGTGCGCGCTCTCCTTTCCCAGGTTCTGCTGGAGCGCTGAGCTTTCCCAGTCGGGGCTTTGCGCAGAGCGCGTCCCGGCCCCGCTCACCTCTGCAGTGGAGAAGGAGCCTCCCTCTGTGGCTGAGGCACCCAGGCCGAGCTCAGACTTGCCACCCCGGCCTCAGCCTCTC